TTTTATTTTTTAATTTTATTATCTTTTTTATTATTTTTTATTTTTTATTATTTTTTTTATTTATTTTTATTTTTATTATTTTTATTTTTTTTCAAAATTTCAAACTCCGATTAGGCGGAGTTTAAATTTGTCAATTTTGTGGGAATTCTAATTCCCATATGTTACGTGACTTCATCGTCTGATCGGAGTTTCAAACTCCGTTTTGGCAGAGTTTGAAATTCTTTCAATTTCGCAGGAACACGAAATCTGAAATCATGTGACTTCATCAGAGTTTAAATCGCCTTTCCATTCGCTTCATTTCTCTTTGCTCTTTTTTCTCTCTTTGATTTTTCTTCCCTCATTTTTCCTCCTTTCCTCTTCTCTCTCTCTTCATCCCATACTCCCACTCCACACCCCACTCCCACTCCTTTACCCACTTTCTCACTCTCCCTTCGCCCCTTTCTTACCCCATCCCTCTCTTTACTTTTTAAATTTTTTTCAACTCTCTACTATTTGACATTTTTCTGTCACTAAGTTTTTATATGCAGGACGTTTTTTGCCTGCTTCGCAGGCAAAAAAGCGTACTGCTTATAAAAAATTAGTGACAGAATTTGCCAAATAGTAGAGGGTAGACTAGCTCTTAGGACCCGGTCATTTCCCGAGTTAGAGCTTCTAATTTTTTTCTAATTCTCAGGCCAAAATTACATTAGCCTGAGTTTGATTTGGGTTCAAATAAACCCAATTTGGGTCTATAAACCCGATTTGTGTTCTAACAACCCCAATTTGGATTCTAACAAACCCGATTTAGGTTCCTATGAACCCGATTTTGGGTTCCAACGAACCTGAGTTGGGTTCAAATAAACCTGAATTTGGTTCAAATGAACCCATATTGGGTTTAAATGAACCCGAATTGGGTTCAAATAAACATGAATTGGGGTCAATCGAACCTAAATTGGGTTCAAAAAAACCCAAATAATTTTTTTTAATTTTTTACCACTTAACAAAATTTCAAACTCCAATTAGGCAGAGTTTGAAATTTGTCAATTCCATAAAAATCTGAATTCCCGTAAGTCACGTGACTTCACCGCTTGGTCGGAGTTTCAAACTCTGTTTCAGCAGAGTTTGAAACTCCTCCAATTTCGCAGGAATGCGAAAGCCAAAGTCACGTGATTTCAGCGAACATGGTCTGAGTTTAAATTTCTTATATTTGCTCTTCTCTTTTACTCTCTTTTACCACATTCTCTTTTCTCTCTTTTCGCTCTTTCCCATCACTTCTCACCCTCGCTCACTCCCACTCTCCCACTCCCCCACTCCCACTCCCACTTCCTCTTTCTCTCACACTTTGTCCCTCTTCTCTCTTCTCTTTGAAAAAAATTTTTTTTTGGTGATTCCGGTCACTAATTAAGGAAAAAAAAAGGACGTTTATAATGAAGACCCATGCTTACGCATGTGTTTTTATTATAAATGTCCTGCATAAAAAATAATTAGTAACTGGAATGGCCAAATAGTAGAGTGTCAACAACGTTGAAACATTGATTGCCAAATATGTATTATAATCACGTGACATTTGAAATTTTGCTTTCTCGCGAACATGTGTTGGGTTACGCAAAATTTAAAGTCCCATGATCTGTATAGCCCACACTTCAGCAAAAGTATCGTTTTTGATAGATCTGCAGTTGCACCCAAAATTGATTTACATTCTTGATATGTTTATAAAATAGACTAAGAGGGCTGTACCAATTTTTTAAAAATTTGAGCAAAGCTATCTCAACAACTACTGAACCAAATTTGATAATTTTATTTATTTTTACTATTCACTATTTAGTTGTTTTTTTATTATAATATTTGCACTATATAGTGTTACAGTGCAAATAAAGGCAATTAACCAATTATTACGTCATTAGCCAAAAGTGATCGACATACTACACTCCAGTTATTATTTGCCAGAATCCTGCAAATTTTAAATGTCACATGGCCCAGTAGAGTCAGCCAAAATTCTAAAAATAAGATAATTTTAAAAAATTTTAGACTAAAATTTTTGACCAAATTTTTTTAATTTCCAAAAAAAGCAATTTTTTTTAAAAAATTTCGGCCAAAAATTTTTGACCAAATTTTTTTAATTAGTTGCCAGAATTCTGCAAATGCATGCCAGAATTTCGCAAATTTTTTAATAGTAATTTTACTAGTAATTAATTAGATGCCAGAATTTCGCAACTTTCACATGGTGTGATGAATAATATTTATCACACCTTATTTCTCATATTCTATTAAAAATTTCCATCAGACCAAAAAACGTATTTTATTCGCAATTTTATTAAATCAATTGACTTTATATTATTAACAAAAGTTGTATAATGGACAAATATAATGCTAGTTTCATAATATGACTTTGTACATTTTACTAATAAAAATTTGAGATATTTGACGTTTACGGTTACACGAACATTTTGATCTGCAAAGCTCATACGAAAACGCTTCATCAAAATTTTGCATCATTTCGCGAATATTTATCTGTTTGACCTGAAATTTTGCAAGAAAATCCGCGAAACTCATCTGTACCAACTTCATTATTCACGTTTCATATGTTTACTTGTAGCAAAAAAAATTTTATTAGTATGCTTCGTATCAAAAACGTACAAGAAAGAGAATTTTACATAGAAAAATTGCCGTCAACACGATTTCCTCCAAAATTTACTATGATGATCGTGTTTTGTTACTAACAAAAGTTGTTCTTTGGCTTAAAAAATTGTTAGTTTCTTAGAACGACTTTACATGTTTCTCTAACAAAATCTTGAGATATTTAACTTTGAAAGTGGGGCATTGAGTAAAACGTATAGAATGAAAGTTGTTCTAAGAATTTTTCATTATTTATAGAATAAAATATCATATTATTATTTCCAAATTCGTAAAATCCGAATTTAGAAGTTCATTGAATTATTAATCATTTCCAGATTCGTATTTTACGAATTAGGAATTCAAAAGGTTCATTGTCGTTCCAAATTCGTAAAATACGAAATAAGAAGTTCGTTGTCTCAATGAACTTCTTATTTCGTAAAATCCGAATTTGGAAAATTAATAAATTAATATTGTGAAAAAATTATGAATTTTGAAAGGAAAAACGAAGAAATTTGTTGAAAAAAATGTGAAAAGCACGTTTATTTTCTTGAAAAATATTATAAATAATGTTCCAAGTTTTTCTTTAATCTCAAATATCTTTTTCATCTTTATCATCTCTTTCTCAAAATCGTGTTAATTTTGTTACTTATGATTTTAATCGTCAAGAATTTGATCAATTAATTCAAACATATTTTGAAGATGAGACTACTTGTCCTTTTACATATATTGTTTATCAGTATGAGAGAAATTATAATGTTTCTCAAGAGCGAGATTGCCATATACAAGGATTTTTACGTTTGAAGAAAAAAACTAGATTTGGGCATTATAAACCATCAATTGATGAAAAAAAGAATAAAATAAACGGTATAAAGGGTTTTTTAAAGATTGATAAAATACATTTTAAACCTGTTGGAAGTGAGTCCGACTCTATACTCTATTGTAAAAAAACTTATAATAAATGTTCAATCCATAATCGAAAAGAAGTTGAACATGATGTGGAACGATTTTCTGAATATGAATTTATTAGAAATACAATTTCAATTTCCAATAAAAAACGATTAACAAATTGTCGATGTAGCTATGAAAATTTAAATGATTTTTCAGAATGTAAATGGTGTACTTTGGAATGTTGTTCTCAACGTACATTGGCTAGATATGATGAA